AGTACAGGAGGCCCTCCAGGGTAGTAGGTAGGCCCTTCAGTACAGGAGGCCCTCCAGAGTAGTAGGTAGGCCCTTCAGTACAGGAGGCCCTCCAGTAGTAGTAGGTAGGCCCTTCAGTACAGGAGGCCCTCCAGGGTAGTAGGTAGGCCCTTCAGTACAGGAGGCCCTCCAGAGTAGTAGGTAGGCCCTTCAGTACAGGAGGCCCTCCAGAGTAGTAGGTAGGCCCTTCTGCCAGCAGTGATGCAAGCAGCCAACGCAGGGCTGCACCTTTAGCTTTTTAATGGTCTCCATTGCGTTGTTTCTAGTTTTTGTGAGTCTGAAATGTTAGGCACTCATCTAAATTGCACGAATTGTTAATACCGGAATATGTTCTCCCTGGCACAATTTGTTGCACGTATCGTGAGCATAAGAATCTAGTTAAATTGATGAGTCCATGATTTGTTGCATTCCTACTCACAGCACCTACTCGCTGTTAATCCTTCACCTTTAAAGGTTCTGCTGTGTAAACTGTAACGCGCGGCAACACTGCTTAAAGCGTAACATTCTTCAGCTAAACGCTTGCAAGTGTTTAGAATGTATCGTCTTAAATTTTCCAGTTACAAACCTGGCTGCCCGCTGTAATAGGACTAGGTATGAGGTGAAATGTGCCAGAAAAAAATCATGCAACATTACTACATTGATTGTGGAAAATGTGCGCGATTGATCGAGCGTTGGAGCAGTGCCGTTCATTATGGTGTGACGGTGATGGTCGTTGCTCTAATGCTCGTTTATGAAACAGTGGTGGGTATTTGAAAATAGTTACATTCTTTAACGTGCTCGCATATTCCGGCGCAATGGAATGATGCAAAACAGATGTTAACGGTCGCCTGAAAAATGTGTGCGTGCCCGCTTGTGTGTGATGTGTGTGTGCGTGCTAGTGTTGGCAGGCTGAATTTCAGTGCAATCTGCTGCTGGGGGTGTGAGTGGACAAAGCAAGACTGATGAATTAGACACTCTCTTTAATGTGTTTGTCAGTGTGGACACATATATGCAAGCGTACATTTATGTTTCTGCAAATGGGGGTGTCTTTACTCGTGGCTGTAGGCGTGCATATAGGGAGTGGTGGTGTAGCTGTAATTGCACCGAGCTAATGACCCCAGTAGCCTAGGATAGAGTCTTTGCCATCCGTTTCAAACAATACGTGAAATTAGGACTCATCAGCTCGGTATAGTCGCTGCTGCAAAGTGTACCTCCGCATCTGGTTTCCATTTGCAGGCTTTGTAGGAGTGACCAATGGTGACAGTATATTTGATTATATTTTAAATATAATGACTTGTGTACTTGTGCATGCACTACACATATCACCCCCGAGCATATATCAATTAGGATTAAAGATAATACAATTGAGATGCTAAAGCTGGGATTATTTTTTGTATTAATGCTCAGGATGGGGGTCAACAACAATGACAAATCACATTAACCATTCAATTTGCGTGACGTTAAGGCAGACGTGTTAACAACGTTAATTGGGTTAAAACTGGACGAGGTTCAACTGAGGCCATCTGGCAAATGTGAGTGGCACTCTGTTGACAGCCACCATTCTCATTCGGTCATTCAGTCACGTCTAACAAATCCTTAGCTTGCTTTAGTGCTGCTCGATTCTGAACAGACGTAGGTTGCATTATGGCCTCTTTTAGCATAACAGAATAGAGGTCACGAAAACAGAAGTCCACACGCGTTGTAATCGTCGATTAAAAGTTGCGTTAACAGATGGTGTGGGGGATGCGGTAAGAAGGAGAAATTGGTTGGTCAGGCGATTGAGAAAAAAAATCCTTGATTTGATGCAATGCATTAGCTGGTAGCTGCATAGCAGCAGACTTGTGAATGTGGATCTATCGTGCATCCTTGTGCTGACCGGTTTGAGTCAGTGCTCTTTGACTCATTGTTATTTGACTCATTGTTACAGAATGTATACGAGTCGCTATTTTCGTCATCCATAACCTCTGCTTTTACATATTAATTTGTCATTTTGCACAGAATGGCCGGCTGCCCTTGCTTTCAGTGACATGTCTTGTAGCCCGGCTCTCGTAGTGTCTACCATAGCCCAATTGCGATTCGAGTTATCTTCAAGGCTTAACAACATTCGAACGCTGGGCACTGCATTGTCCGTTGCAGTCTCGCTCACGTGCCACGGCTTCATTGACAATTGAGGCCGTCGTTTTGATAATGCATCGCTAAAGCTGCCCCCCCATTGTGTGAGTGTGAGGCCAAGGACCTCCTGTGCAGGTGGTGGCACGGACTGCAGTGACCAGATGAGAGTTGACTGGTGTGGAATCCACTAGGTCATCATTGTCACCCAGAATGGGGTTCCCTTGCCTCTATTGTGTGTCTAATGTTGTGGCCATTATGCCATTATGTGACCGAGGCTGCAAACAACGCACCGGTGCCACAGTGACATGAGCGAACAAGCCAACTGGTCTAGACCTGCATTATACTGCTCCGCTATCCAATAGCTTTCTCCGGGTGATACGCTATTGAAAAGAAACAAAGGCAAAAGGAAAAAAAACCCAATTCCGCTAATGTGTTTGCGTGCGTGTTGGTTCACAGCGGCGAAGGCACCGATCACAAAGTGCTTTGTTGGCTTGAAGGCACGCTGCTTTGTACAGTGTACGATTCAAAGGGAGTGAAGGAAAACTGGGGGGGGAGTAAAACGGATGGCTTGTGACGGAGAATGTGGTGACGTGGCACACACCACCACCACTACCACCCCGCCTTCCCGCAGGCCAGGAATGACATCCTCAGGGAGGATGAAGGGCAGGAAACGGGGCTGAGCAGCTATAACGGACTGCCCCATGGTTAGTCAGAGATGAGCGGGAACAATTAATAGGACTTCTTCTGTGTCTGTGTGTGGGTGTGTGCGCGTCTGTCCGCCTGCTGCCTCTTGTGCAAAGCAGGCTGGTTGTGCAGAAATGTGTCTACCAGCGAGTGCGTTTCTTGTTATGTTGTAAGCTTTATATAAAATAATTATTACATGGAAAAAACATCTGCTATTGTACATGGGTCCTGAGTACAGTGTATAAAAATATACGCAATTACATCTTCTTTTGGGACTTTTTCAAGTGAAGCAAAGTGTAAAATAATATTTTTTTCTTCAAAATAACAAAGGTTGAGCTTCACGAATGCAGAATAAAACTTGTCAAAAAGTACTTGTAATTTATTAATTGCATTTATATGTAGACAAAATTATTAATTTTGACATGGAGCAATACGTGCATAAAACAATCTAAATGAAAGACTTGGATATGTTACTGACATTTACACGACTTGCTGTACTGCACTAGAGGCTGTTACCCAGTGTCATTAAAGCTGTTAGGGCCCTGGTGAGATGTCTTGAACAGCAGTAGGATCAGAATCTTTGTTTGGACTGTGCAGTGTATGGGGGAGGGCTACTGCTGGTCGTCTTTGAGACCCTAGGACAGGGGTCGGCAACCTACGGCTCCGGAGCCGCATGCGGCTCTTTACGGGCTGCTTCTTGACGATATGTACGTATGTACAGTATGTACTCAGATGCATTGCGGCTCTTGAAATACTGAATTTTGTACCGAATTGGAAAGAAATGGCTCTTCTTGTTATTTTGGTTGCCGACCCCTGCCCTAGGAGATACACGGCTCCCTAACTGCAACCATATAGAGTGGGGGGCCCTTTGTGACTGCATTGTCTGCTCATGCATTTACGCAGACCGGCCAATAGCGGGCCCTCTTTTCAACCATGAGCCCCCTGCTTTACTACAAAAGGATGATGGTGAAACTCCTCTTTATCGAATCCCTGTCTGCTACTTCTCTAATGCACACACCGCTAGTTGATCCGTACATGGACTATTTCCATCCACGGATAATAGGATTTGTAGTCTCCCAGAAGCACTAACGTGATCGAATTTGTAAACATTTTTGCACGGTATAATTGCACAAAGCAGCGTGGAGAGATGCGTGCTTGGAATTCTACTGAGAGACAGAGGAGCACAGGGGGTTATAGAGCACGTGCAGGTTAGTGACATAATTCAAATTGTTCAAATGTCTTAGTGTGCGTGTGCAGGACACGACGCTAGAAGGTGCGATGGCCGATATTTAAGTTATCACCGAGTGGCAGCCAAGGAACGTGCAAGTGTTGGGTAGATTATTACCACATCACTTGCCTCTAGCAGTCTGTTAAGGCTATATGGGGGATCTTTGTCCTTTGTTACATCACGGGAACCGGAGAGATGGCATTGCCTTGGGGGAGGTTTTCATCCAGTAGTGTATTGACCCGGGCTGATGATGATGACTCTGAAAAATAATTATTTTCCATGATTACTGCCTAATGGTTAATGTATCCCTGACAATACGCATTAATTATACAGCATATGCCCCTTCTTTGTATTGTTTTGCTTGAGCATGCGCTACTTCCAATGGCTTACTGTGTCACGGTAGTAATGTCCTTCTAACACAAAGGTCGCACTGCATCTTTAGACTCAGCAGGGTGCTGCTGGAGATACTCAGCCACTTTGTCACGTGGTTCATTTTGTTAAAATAGGAATGCTCAGATTAATTCCATATGAACAGCTGTACACGAGTACCATTTTATGACGGTTTATTCAGCCATACATCTTGTAAGTTCTTAGTTAATGCGGAAAGCATGCATTTGAAGTACATCTTCTTATCTACATCTTTGAACACATTGAGTGCTGAATATTGACCTGATAATATCTGGGTTTTGTTGCCCTCACTCTGGTATTTTGCCCCTTTCTGTGTAACTGTCGCTATTCTCTTGTTTACTTTTACTGTATTCCTGTCACATGTATTTGCTGTCATGACTGTCATCTGTATTGTGTTTCCTCTAAATTACTATTTATCCACGTGGTCCCTTGACATTGCCTTTCATTTTGTTCCATCTCTTCACACCCATCTGTGTTTTTCTTTGTTCCTCTCCCCCTCCCACCGCCCACGTCTCATTTGCACTGTCGCTGTCAATTAACACTTACCCAGAGGCCCCTGCTCCTGCGTCCCGCGGGACCCCTCTGTACGGGAGGCCGTCGTGGTGGGGTGAGAGCGACGGGGAGTGGAAGGGCCTCGGGGCCACGGACTCCTCCCTGCATCGAGACAAGCTGAGCGGGACCGATGGTGCAGCAGTGCAACACTACCCCTCTCCTCCGGGTTCGTGTTTCCACCCCACTGTGACCTGTCATAGCAGCTCTATTTAATTAATCGTCATTACTGTGATCAACAGCACTGTAATGATTAGCTTTAGGATCATTATTATAATTTGTGTTTTATTTGATGCTGTTTTAAGCATGTGCAAGCTCATCGAGGCACTGTGTTGTCTGTTTTGTTTGGGCGGGCGTTGTTTTTTAATCTGACATTGTTAACATGTCATGCTTTTTTTGCGTTAATTCTTTATCGGGAGGCAGGTGGCACAGTGTTAACACTCGTGTGTCGAAGCGAGAGGGTCTTGGGTTTTATTACTTTCTCAGGTGCCTTTCTGCGTGGAGTTTGTATTTTCTCTCCCCCTGTGTCATGCATGGGTTTCCTTCGTTGCATCCGGTTTGTTCTCGTAACTAAATAACATACACTGCAACTGGTATATGCCAAACATCCCAATGCTGTCAAATTACCTGCAAATTATAAAAATGGGATTACACACAGCAACATCGCCAGTGTTATTTTTCTCAACTTCCTTGCAATCGCATTCTTTTTAATGTTCAACTAGAGGTTTCAGTGTTCTTTACACTCCATGTTAAATTCAATAGCCACCTGTGTGACAGGCCACTTAAGTCATGTGATCCGTCAATGTGCACATTCCGTGCTCTTCCTACCATCTGGCTGAAGGAAGTGATGGCTGTGTGTGGCGATATCAGTGGCATTGGCCATGATTGCCCTGACCTTGACATCGTAAGCAATATCTTGTTTTTTTGCAGGAATGTATTTTAGTTCAGACAAAACTAAATAAAGAACAACGTTACAACAAAGGTTGTGGGGACTGAGTTGGCATTTATGTGCAGATGGAAACACCTTACCACTATTTCCATTAATACTGCTATGTGACGGGAAATATTTTATCTCAGGCAGTTGCCCTTATTCTAAGCAGAGATAAATAACACGTGGAAATATTGACTGGTTTATAGTTGGGTATTGTATTTACATTGTGGTGCAGGAATTGGAACATGGATTTAAATCAATTGGAATTTGGCAATGGTTGACATTGACCATTTTCTTTCATCAACGTTGGGTATCAAACAAACCCATACGAGTGGAAATTACACATCTTCCTTCATATAGCCAGATTCAGTTGTAAGTGATTTAACCTTCATTTATTTAATCAGTTTCCTTAAGAATTGGTTGATTGCAGGTACAATACCTTCAAATATATAACTGGGGCAGCGCAAAGATACGTGGATCATCGTCTGGAATTCATAGCCGCAGTCGCACACTTGATAGTCTGATGTTCCTTATTTGATTGAGTAAAGTAGACCAATCTAAAAGTTTTAAAATGCATCAAGGGGGACCTGTTTGTGCACAGTTACACCGTGCAAAAATAGGTTATTGAACAATAATAAAATGAAGCGCGCTCTGTTCTAATGTAGTCCGTTTTAACACGTAGGCTTTCGCGACCAATATTATCCATTATAGAAGTTTTTTTGGGTTAGGTCGCGTAATTGGTATGTTTTGTTTACGTGATAAACCTTACCAAAAAAAAAACCAGTTATGCTTTTAATGTACTTCATAAGTAGGTATTTGAGCTACAGAAGACATTGTTGTGTGTGAAAATACCAGACTTTGTCAACATCGATAGAAATTTACAGTTACGCCTCGCACGCAGTGCACTGGATGTCGCTGGTACGTGCGTGCACATGCGCGTGCCGCAGATTTGACCGTGCGCTTGTTTATTTGGCATTAAACATTTAACGTCGCAGACGGAGCGAGTGAAGAGGAGGCACAGAAGAGCGGCGTGGGCTCGTTGTACATGGAGGGAGCCAACGGCTACTGCTGGGCTGCGCCGGGAGCCCAGCTACTTTGAAATTCCCACCAAGGAGCTGCAGAGAGAGGGCTCGGAGCCACCCACCAGGGACACCGACTGCGCCGCCAACGCGGTACGGCCCCGTTGAGAGAGCGCCGGGCACAAGGGCGTCTGTCGCCAAATCATCCGGCATGCACCCGGGTGATTTGGTGACCACGAATGCGTTAAACAGAGGGGTGTAGGCTGCTTGCATAGTAGTACCCTGTGGTTTCTTGCTTAATTAATGTTTAGCATGTGTTCATGTTAATATAAACAGAAATATTACTTGTGGATGTCATCAAACATTTAAATTGTAGAATTCCTGTTAGGGGAGTTAATCGGCAAATGAATTCTATTATCCGCAATTATCGGACGTTTTTTGCAGATAAGTGGCGTGAATTCGTGGTAAATTCGTGGATAACACGAATGTACTCCACTTATCTGCAAAAAATCGTCCACATCACCGTGGATGAGAGGAGTCATTCTACAGTAGTAATAATACAATTTGGCATACGGCTGCGCCGTGTAATTCTCGCTTACCCCACTGACTTTGTCTCTGCGGTCCGCACAGACTGACCACGTCTCCCCCTTCGTGAGCGGGCCGGGCCACGCCTCGTTCACCATCGAGTTCGACGAGAACTCGCCGGGCAAGGTGACCATACGAGACCACGTCCCGGTGGCGCCGGCCGGCAGCGGCGGAGGTGGCGGCAGCGGCGCCGCGGGCAGCGTGTGCTCGGGCAGCCCCGGCCCCGGCCAGCCGGGGGGTCGACCGCGCCTCTCCGGCAGGGACTCGCCGAGGATCGCGGCGGACGGCGTGGTGGGGGCGGCCGCTGCCGCCGACAGCAAGGTGGCCGATTGGTTGGCGCAGAGCGGCGTGCCGGCGGCGTGCGCCAGACGCTCCGCTCGCAAGGCCGGGGACCCTGTCGTCAGTGCCAAGGGCGAGGCGACTGCCAACGGCAAGGCCTTCAAAGGCAGGTCATGACCCCTTTTTTCCTTGAAGTGATTCATGTAAGGGTTGAGGATGACGGGGTGAGTCGAGGATTGTGCTCCGAGCCAGCAGCATTGAGATTTAAGTGTTAGAATGTGGCTAGGGACTGGACAAAAACACGTAATGAGGTTTGATTAAAATGTTTCACTGGGAATTTATTTATAAAATTTCAACTGGCTTGGACTTCATTGGTTCATGAATATTGGCCGACCACACAAGCTGATTTACCAACCTGCATCTCTTTTACTTGGTAGCCTGCATCGACGTCGCATCTACTTTTATTTATTATTTCAACTTACAAATTGTAACCCTGTGCCACCGTCAGGGAGCAAACACGAGGACGGCACGCAGAGCGATCGCGAAGATGAGAGCGTCCGCGTCTCGGGAGGAGGGAAGGGCGGCTCTTTGCGCGACGCCCTCGCCAAGCACCGTCTGGAACAGCAGCAGGCGCGTCTCCGCTCGCGCGACGACGATTGCGGCGGCGGGGAGGGCGCCTCCTCCCCCAGCCCGGCCCAGCAGGGGACGCCGCCCGCACAGCGCCAAGGCGTGCCCGGCCATGGCGCCGCCTTCACCATCGAGTTCTTCTTCAACGAGGACGATGGGAACCCGCGCAAGCGGCGCTCCAACTCGTTTTCGCCGGGCTCGGCCCCGGAGGCGGCCGACGGCGGCCCGCTGACGGCGCTGCGCGGCAAAGTGGGGCGCGCCGAGCGGTCCGCCGCCTCCTCGCGGGAGACGGAGCCGCGCGGGAAGCCGCCGGCGACGTCCAACGGGGAGAGGCGCTCTCGGGAGGGCTCGCCGCACACCGGGGAGACGAGGCTCCTCTCGGAAAAGACGTTCGTGTCGGTCTCCGTGGGGCCCAGGCCCGAGCTGCCACGCACGTCGCCGGACGGGGACGCGCAGAAGAACGGCGACAGCGGCTCGGGGGGGGGCAGCCGAGGCGACGACCACCGCGGCTCGCTCGCGGAGATGGGAGAAACCTCGAAGGTCGGCGAGGACGCGATAGCCGGCCGGCACCGTCAGCTGCACCTTGGGACACCGTGCCGAGTCAATGTCACAAAGCCTCCTTGTCATTTAATTCGGCTGCAGATAATGAAATACATTTTTTTTTTTCTTGGTTCTTTCAGTAAAGTCACATAGAATTGAAATAATAAAATAATAAAAATAAAACACAATAAAATAATTCTCACGACGTTTCGGCCACAACGCAAGTAGCCGTCCTCAGGTGGAGAACAGGTCTGTCGAGGAGAAAGAGTCTGAATTCTACATGACTTTACCGAAAGAACCAAGAAGATGAATCCCTGCAGTCACGAAAGCTTTAAATCGAAAAAAAATACATTTGTTTGTTATCCACATACTTTTACTGATTAATCAGTACTCCTCATAGCTGTGCTAGATTAATTTTTTTGAATACCATCATTTCATTTTGTCTTAACTAACTTCCAATGCCTTGAAATAGACAAGCTGTTTAAATATTAATGCAATGCCAAGTGGCAGCTAATGCTGCTTAGTTGTATCTTGCTTAGAAATACATTTGTCAGAACTAATAGCTGTATAGATTTTTCCAGATCAAGTACTTTCAACAACTAGAGAAACCAGCAAGCAATTGTAAACATGATCTCACACTGCCCCTGCAGTGATGCAGCAAGACTCTCCAATGTGCATACATAGGGATTTATCATATTTTTTATTCAAAGAATGAGATTATACCTTCTTGACCAGACTGTTTGTGCCAAAGGCTCTCATGAGTTGGCCACGACAAATTACCGGTAAATGTATTCATAATTCTGTGAACATTTAGTTGCAAGAAACCACAGAGACTTTTGAGAGCAGTGTCAGAACTACCCGAAGCTGCCCTGTGTGGCTGCCTTGTTATGTCTATACCTAAACAAAATGTACACTCCCTACTGGTTGTTTGGTACTAACTGCTTCCAAGTGAGTATTGTATTTGTCAGGATTGCCTACGAAGATTTTGAGTTCATGATTTGATCATTGACTCTCTATGTTATACTGTAGTGATATTCTTTTTGTTAAGTGAATTGGTCAACGGACATTTTTTTTGTACATTTCTTACAGCTTGACGATATTTTGTGTTAATGCGCAATTCAGTTATATCATGGCTGAAGTAACTAACAATAATATACAAAGGAACTATCACTGAAGTGGGTACTTAGCCAGATGGTGGGCTTCAATTCAACCAGGCCTTCCAAATCTGGTGTTGGCTGTGCAAAGGCTGGAGGCTATACCAGAAGGAAGAAAGGCATTTGAAGGGGCTTTGGCTTCAATGGTTTTGTCGTTGATAACCTCTTGACCTTGACCTTTATATCGCAGGTATATGGAGTGTCAGTCAACGTCAGCTCATCCCTTCCTCACACGGACAAAGATGGGAAAACAAAGGCAGATGGCGTAACAGCAGCGTCGGCTGCTTTGGGATGGAAGGATGGAAAACCTGAACTGGAGTGGCAGAGTGGATTGGGTGGAACCATAGCGGTCTACCCAGTAACACAAATAACTGGTGCAGATCCTTTAGCGCAGGTATTTGTCTCGCCTATTTGAACATCTTTTGTACACGTTTACCTTGTGCGTTGTGTGCGTATGGCGTGTTTTTAATGGGTGAGTTAAACTCGTTCCGAAGAGTAGGGAGGTTAACTTCAGTGTTAAAACAAGTGTAGTACGTGTAATGTCATGCGTATTGTCTGTTTTGGTGCATGTGTCAAAGCAAATAAAACCCGATGCTTTTGTTGCCTTTAGATACAGACGCGTTTGTAGGAAGCTCGTAACTTCTGGCAGAATAGAATTAAGCGCACAGCAAATTTGCATGAGAACATGGAATGTAATTGTAGATGTACTTCTGCAGAAGATAATACGATGGGTTGCTTGCATGTGGCGGACAAAGGCGTGCTGCTTGTTACCAGAGCAGGTACCGAGATTGACATCTGTTGGTCAGCAACAAAATAGAAGACTTAAAACCACACGAAGTAATACTGTAAAAGCACATCTTTGAGTCAAATGTTGGCTCTGCAAAACAGCTACTGGGTCCAGCAGAAGGATTTGATGGTGAGGTGTGGTGGCATCAACATCGCTGGCGGTGATGACCCTTTGATCTTGATTCCATTAACGTTTTATTTCCCGTATTTCAAAAACGGCTGTGAACCTTTCTGATTCATTTCTAAATTGCCCACACGGCAGGTTCCTGGAGACGTTTTAGTGTCTCTTTGTGCTTTCATGCTTGTAGCTTGATTGGGGAAACATTGGTTATGGTCTTTCTAAAAGTGCACTTCCACGTGTGTTATTTAGTCATTCAAATATTGAACCTGGAAAATCCCTTGAGACGGAACCTTCTCGTATTCAACAGTGCCGTGTAACATTTAACAAAGTGACAAAAATAATGAACATAAGTAACAGGGGGTGTCAACTTGAAGGTAATTTCCAGAGTTTTATCAAATATGGCTAATATATTGAGTAATTAAATGGCTCGACACGCACCAGAAACTGGTATCTTACGAGCATTTCTCCCAAATCAAGAAAGGGGAGACACATTATTTCTATCTGATTTAGAGTCCTCGACAAACTTTGTCCGAGTTATAAAAGCCACTTCACATTTATACTACTCGTGATTACCCCGCATCGTTATTGTGTCTCGGATGTGCGTACAATGCAGCGGTTGATGATTTTATCTCCTGGCGCAGCTGTTGAAACAATGGACACGTTTCTTAGAATCCCCACCTCTGCCTCTCTCCACTTATAGGAGTATAAATGTTTACTCCACAATGGAGTAGCCGGTTGTGTGTGTGGTGCGTAGACTAGTGTGGTGGGTAGAATAGTGTGGTTGTGTGTGTGGTGCGTAGACTAGTGTGGTTGTGTGTGGTGCGTAGACTAGTGTGGTTGTGTGTGTGGTGCGTAGAGTAGTGTGGTGGGTAGAATAGTGTGGTTGTGTGTGTGGTGCGTAGAATAGTGTGGTTGTGTGTGTGTGGTGGGTAGAATAGTGTGGTTGTGTGTGTGGTGTGTAGAATAGCGTGGTTGTGTGTGTGGTGCGTAGAATAGTGTGGTGCGTAGAATAGTGTGGTTGTGTGTGTGTGGTGTGTAGAATACTGTGGTTGTGTGTGTGTGGTGGGTAGAATAGTGTGGTTGTGTGTGTGGTGTGTAGAATAGCGTGGTTGTGTGTGTGGTGCGTAGAATAGTGTGGTGCGTAGAATAGTGTGGTTGTGTGTGTGTGGTGGGTAGAATAGTGTGGTTGTGTGTGTGTGGTGGGTAGAATAGTGTGGTTGTGTGTGTGTGGTGGGTAGTATAGTGTGGTTGTGTGTGTGGTGTGTAGTATAGTGTGGTTGTGTGTGTGGTGCGTAGAATAGTGTGGTTGTGTGTGTGTGGTGCGTAGAATAGTGTGGTGCGTAGTATAGTGTGGTTGTGTGTGTGGTGGATAGTAGAGTGTGGTTGCTCCCAGCTCTCCTAAGAAGGCTGGCCAGTGTGGAAGAAAAGGCAAAAACACCCTCTTTTCTGGGTCTTCTCGAGCCCCTTTCTAATGGGGGCCCTTCCTCCGACAATGGTGTGAGCAGCAAATTTCAGAATTATATCTTTACCTTTGCCTAATGTGTATTATGAGATGCTTGCTTAATGACCAATTAGTACATTGCCTTTTTGCAGATTAGATCTCCTCCTACAGTCTGCTTCAAAGGTCTGCTGTGGGATAAACCTCCGGCGTGCGGCCTTGTCCAATTCACGCGTGTGTTCTCTTCTCCGTTGCTCACAGCAGGCAAGGCCCGTCGGTCCTGTGGCCCCCAGCGCATCCCAGTACCGCTCGCAGTGGGCCAGCTTGGCCACAACCCCCAATGGGAGCTGGCCCAGCTTCCCTCCAGGCCAGGACAACAGGCCTACCGAGCCAACGCCCACAGTCCCTGACAAGGGTAAGCCATTCTTGACTTCATTATATTAACCTTTTCCCGTTCCAATTACGTACACGTACATCGTCATTTGGTCTTCCAATTCCGTTCTGATGACGTATGTGAATCGTACCGAGGCTCCCAATAAGGCCATGCGGGAGGGCGTGTGGCACAGTTTGGTGCCAGCTATCGTAGAGCACGGTCGTGTCACTACGGTTCTCTGCGGTGAGAACAATGTCTTTAAAAACAACGGTGCTACGCTTCCCTAAATAAAACTAATGCTGAACCGCTTGCGCGTTCTGAGATTCGGCGGTGAACGGGACACCCATCCTGCAAACTTGCAGTTGTCTCAGAATGGGAATGGGTTAACATCTGCTTGAAGCCGGCGGAAGTCCGATGAAGCATTATATTCATGTGAGGCTTCACAATCCCTTCAGGTGATTTTTTTTTTGCATTGTACTATGCCACTTGGGATCTGCCTTCTCGCTATATGTGTATCGGTGTTGTCATGTGCAATGCAGCACTCTCTGGTGGCTGTATAATTCAGCTCGTATTTTTTCTGATCCCATCAGACAATTGCAATTTATACTTCCTCAATAGGTTGTGTGTTACATTTCTGAGTTTTAGATTGATGTCTGTTTATCTGAGCTCATGACTTAATCCAACACTTGGGAGGCAAGGGTTGGTGGATGATACACTTCCAACTTTTCTGGCCTGTGAATTTGCCAGGAGTCAATGGGTTGTTAACCCATCTCTGCAGAACCTTTAGGATTAAATACCCTCTTCTTCCCACACACTACGATCCTTCGTGGAATTTGCCAAAAGTCCTCATGTAGGACTCTCTTGAATACGAGTCTTGATTCTCAGTCAGGCTTTTGAGGATAAATACATTCCAGGATTATAACTGCAGCAAACTAAGAGCAGTTTTGTGATCTGTCCAGGTCGGCAAAACCTTAATACCCTCATAATGTAAATTGAACTAATCACTGTCTCTGCAGAGAGATAGTAATTGTTTTCCCATGGTAAAAATCATGCTCACAAACTTCAAGATCATTTCCCCCACCCCACATTTTTGCTGACATCCTTAATTATTACAAACAACAAAGCAGTTTCCTAGAAGTGGCTTTTTGGCTTTGAAATTGTATGCCCTAATTCAAGCGGTAAGCCAGCAGCAACATTGAAAGCCTCGCTATAATTTAGGGGCAGCTACACATGACTAAGCCAGGCTTGGCTCTCATATGTAGAAAAGGTGATTCTCTTAGACTGTAAACCAATAACTCAAAGAAGGAAAAAAATTGGTTTGATGCTTAGTTGAACATATGCCAGTAAGGAACGGTATAAACCAAGTACTTTTCTGCATAGCTAAGAATACCGTTCAAAGTCTGTGGTAAGATAGACTTTAAATTCGAAATATAACATGTGGTTCTGAAGTTGGTAGATCTTCCCAAGAGTAATCTCTACTAGATTTGTAGATTGTGAGTCATTATTGATCAAGGTTAACATTGCTAAAAAAATATTCTTATGAAAGTTATTTGTGAACAAGAAAACGAAAATCATTTAGCGGGAGTTTACAATGAAATAATTTAATATAACCATTCTCAATCTACCAATGGATGATGGCCTCCTCTCCCCATATTTGTTTGAAAAAAAATTTCTTCCACACTTTAGCTGCCTGGTCAGTGTGGGTTGGTCAAGTGAGGAGAGGGAAAGTCCAAATCTGATATCACTTGCCACTGATATTAGCCATGGCCGGAAATCGAATTTGGGTTTGTGGGTTCATAACACAATTTGCTTGCTACTGTACCAGTGCCCCAACCCCTCACAGGAGTGTATGCTGACTGCTGACTAACAAATATTGTGCACCACGATTAAGATGCAACGCTAATTAAAATTCAGCTCTTGAGAGCCTACTATCATAAGGTTGTGAGTTCAAATCAATTTCGAGGGTCATCTGAGCCCATTATACCGTAAAATTAATAATACTTTGTGGGAAATGAAGAGTGGTTGTCCTATCAATAGACTGCCATAGAAAATGACAATTTCCATCATTGGCTCAGAGCCAGCAATAGTAGAGAGTACAGCCTCATGCTCAGTGAGCTGACTTGTTGTGAGTGTCAGGAGCATACGGCCATTTGGACGTGTCAGCTACTCAAAACACCATACTGATGAGGTACAGATAAAAACATGTTTTTGGGTCTCCTGCTGACACATTTTCAATTTGTCTATTTGAAGGCTATAAATAGAATAGGCTACATAGCTATCATGTTTGATGGTGTGTCACCATGAGAGAGACCGGTCAGTGTGGTGGCAGTGTCGTCTGCCTGTGATCGATTCCCATTCTGGGTTTCTGTCTTGGCAGATGCCGACGGCGGTGAATCGTGCGTCTCGGTACGCAGCTCCGCTTCAGACGGCACCAGCAGCCAGTCGGACAGGAGGCGACGGGCGTTGCCGCAAATCCCGCTCGAGAGAACGCACTCGGACGGGATCCCCACCACTGCCGTGGGGCCATTCCTGGCAAGACCCAGTTCGGGGACGGGGGCAGTCGAGGAAAAGGACGGGGCCAGAGTCGTGGCTGCAGACGGTTTGGCGAGCCAGGACGGTCAAACGGTGGCCGAACGACCCGCTTGTGGTGGAAACATCTGGGAGATTGATGTCACGTGCACGAGCGTGAAGGAGTCCTGCATCATTGGGCCTTGCGCACCTTGTCCACGAAGACAACGGGGACGGAAAGAAGCGATGCTGGCGATGTTAAAGGAGGCCCTCGGCAGCCGTCGCAATCGGACTCTGGCTTCAGTACGCCAAAAACGTCGTCCTGCCAAAGCTAGCGATGAGCAAAGGGACAGCGTGGGTAGCAGGCAACAGTCAACTAAATCGGACACGAGGCCAGAAAGCGAAGGCGGCCCGTCGACAAGGCCCTTTGGAGACAAACCCTTGAAAGCCATCGGGCTCCTCAATTCATCCTTGCAGGACGAGGTCCTTGGGCGACCACGCAGTGCCTCGGAGAGCCGCCCCACCCGGCCGAGCGACGTGCAGAAGAAGGGCGGTGGCAAGGCGCTCGTACGCCAGGGCAGCTTCACGAAGGAGCGGCCAAGCTCGTTGGTGCCAATCGAGATGCTGCCGCACATCAGCACCGTCGCGCCTGCCGAGAGCCAGTGTAAAGGTACCGAGGCACGGTCATCTGCGCCTTCGTCGGAGGCACCAAAGGCACGGAGCGGCTCGAGGGATGAGTCTGAAGCAAAGGGAGGTGCTGCTGTCGGCAAAGATTTTAGCGCGGGGCACAGGGAGCGGAGCAACGGCGGTGAGACACGGAAGAGAAACGATTCCGGCAACACGGCGTCCAGCACGGACACTTCTCTGCTGCTGAAGGAAACCGAAGCAGCCGTGGCAGCGCTGGAGGCCAAGCTGTCGGTGTCGGGTGGTTGGGAGGGCCTACGGAGCCCAATCCGTTCCCCATCTCCCGAGTCCGATGTGGACACCTCGAGTACCGTGAGCCTGGTGAACGGGGAGGGCCAGCGGAAGTCTGTGACGCAACGCAAGGCCTCCTGCCAACGCCCGCGAGAAACTGTCAGAGCTCCGCAAGGCGCGCTCCGTGGATCCCGGAGCGAAGGCGGACGTCGCGTTGGGCTCTCGTCGCACCAGGCCCGGTGTGGACAGGGTCGGAACGGTCGCCCGCCCGCCTTCGGCGGACTGGACGACGGACGACGATCGGCCGTCTTCCTCCACGGCGCGCGCCGCGTCCTCGGATCGCGCGTCCGCCTCGCGTCCTCCGCCGGGGCTCACCTCCACGGACGAGCTCATGAGGACGAAGCTGGAGGGCAGAAGCGCGTCCGCGGCGGCGATGATGTCCAGGGGCGGCGGCGCCGTGGGGGTGCCGCCCCGGGGCGGCTTCATGCCAACGCCGCCATCCTCCAAACCGAGGCCGACGCGAACGTCCCTGATGCGGCGCGCCCGTCTCGGCGACGCGTCGGACAACGAGTCGGGCGACGTGGACCGCGCCTCGGTCATCTCGGACGTGTCCACCACGAGCTCGACGGGGGCGAGGCCGTCGCCCCAGCCGGGGCCTCGCAGGAGCCTGTCCCGCATCGACCTCCTGGCCCAGCCCCGGCGGCCGCGCGTCTCATCCTCGCGCAGCGACACGGAGGCCACCGTGGTGAGCTCGTGGCAATTATCCGTGCTTCCTGTTGGATATCTAGCAAGTGGCTTCAGAACCACTGGTGTGGAGAGGCACCACCACCACCCCATTGCTTTTCCTTCCTTTTCTTTGTATCACGGTTGCGGAGTGCAGGCCCAAAGGACAACAATGCCATGCAGTTATCCAACAACTAACAGCACTGTTGAAGGTGTAATGGATAAGAGTTTAATTATGTGTTTTTTTTTAATTGAGCAAGGTAATACGAAGTTGGGAAAAGAGACCATGGGAGGCAATTCTAAAGTTTCACAGTTTTAGGAAAGAAGCGGAAAGAGAGTTTTGACGTGCATTGTAGTAGATGAGACTGAAACAGTCTGGGAGACAAGAGTGCTCAACATGTTTCGGAATCATTGAGCTTATTTGAGTGTGGAGATCTCTTGGCTTCATTATTATTAGACATTAGCTCCCACACTTGCTCAGCGAGCTCCACATTAAATCCTTTTGATGACTGCTCCTCATTCTCGGAAGCGAGCGTCACATGCGTTACGCGATCTCACCGTTGCTCGTTCTCTCGCCTGTGCACGTAGATGTCTCCGGCTTCGGGCCGCTCGAGCCTAGGAAGCCGCATAGCCGAGGCGGGCAGGGGCAACCTCGCGGCACGCCTCTCCGGAGCGGCCCACGGGACGCCCGGCTCCATGGCCAGGAGCCGCACGTGCAGCGAGTCGCGCGACCGCGAGCCCCGCAGCCGCTCCTCGAGCTCCACGCACAGCTCACCGTCCGGTATGGCCACCGTCCTTGTCGTCGTCGCCGTCGTCGGAGCCACGGTGGCTAGGAGATGTTAACTACCTCGCCTGGTATGCAGGAGGGCGTGGGTGGATCCCGGCCCTGACGCCTGCTGTATATTTGGAGTTTGCGTGTCTCTCTCCTCGTGGTCGCGTGGATTTTTTTCTCTGGTCCTCCAGTATTTAGAAACAATTTAGAAATATGCGTTCAGATTATTTGGATTATTTTACTGCTATAAATAGTCAAATGATAAGCCACTTCGTTGAGCTATCATTGGTGGCCAGGTCGCTTCTGAAAAAGAGCTACATAGCTCAGTGGGCCTTATCTGCTAAAATAAAAAAATGGTTTAAATAGTTTAGTTTCGTCATCGTCAGCCATGATCAATCCACTGCTGGATGAAGTCCTCCTCAAGCCGCTACGACCTCGTGCTGTCCGACGATGCAATAATAGGCGACAATGATGGTTGAGTGTGATGAGCATACTCGGGTAAACTGGACGAAGTGTAGTTTTTACACTCCGACTACTATGTCAAGATTTAAGAGATGGCCATTGCTTCCTTCTACGAGCTTCTGTAGAGCCCTAAGCAGCAGCGCCCTCCTCTACATGTGTTTGGGGTGTCATTGTTCTACTGAAGGCCCCGCTGCTCTTGATGATTTTTACTCAAGGAAATTAATGTTTTCAGTCCGAGCAAGTTCCACTCCATTTGAAGTTGTTTTTGTTGCCTTAATAATTGTGATTTTTTTTTCCCTCTCTCCTGCGATAAATTATCCGTGTTGTTTCATTATCATCGTCATTATTGTCTTTACAAAGTGTGTACACCAACCTAATACACATTTATGACCCTTAGGTGGATGAATTTTGGAATATACAACTATTTTCAACCTTGTAAATAACATCAAGGAACAGATTCTCCAAAAAGTTGGTCAAAATTTTTCACATAACAAATTTTCTTTATTGTTTGGCAATGGAACCATTGACACATTTTTGTCATTTTCTACTAAAACTGACATTTTCCAACCACATGAATTGGGCTCCAAATGTTACAGCTTTCTCACAAGGCATCCCACCCATGCACTGCCCATTCCAAATTGGCTGCTTAATCATTCCTGCACTTTGCTGCTTTGGTTATTTTCAGCCACAATTCTGTTTGATTGATTGCAGAGAATGTCTAAGATTGATTGTGGGAGTGAAATGTCCCCTTAATTGAAATAATGACTTATGTTACGCTCTCGTGTGATTGTAATACATCTTAACATTTGAGTTTTGTATTATTTGTTACCATGATTAATGATATAATATACGACATACAATCCAATGTCTAATAATTAACAAATGGGAAAAAACCCCACAAGATCCAAGGATGCAATCTCCACCTCTTATCAATCCTTGAATCACCAGGAGGTTAAAATGAACCTATAAAATATCACAATTGTTAGAAGAAGCAAATGCATTTGGCATGACTTTGACTGTGACTTATCGTTGGTGGACGATAGCGATGGTTCTGACAGAGACAATGTACGTGAAGGCATCAGCAAAGTGACATTAAAGTTTTGACCAACAAAAAAGTTACACGGTTAAGAGTTGGACAAGATGGATGAGTGAATGGTGGAATTCTAATTGAGTATCATGAATGCAGAATGCCAGTAAAGGTTACAATCATGATGAGGCTTGATTGCGGTAAATATTTAATTACATTGCCTTCGCTGTCATACATCATTTAATGAAAATATAGTAGGACCATGATGATGAAACGATTGTAATTATTGATGTAGACAAGGCTGAAGGTGATGACAAGTGTTGACAGCAGTGATGGTGGCAGTGGTAATGATGATGACACACTTAAAAACGAGTATGTAGATAATGATGATTTCTTTTTACTGTTGAAGTAATGCAAATTATATTTTTTCAGAGATCTGCTTTCCTCCCATCATACGCAATGCTAGTGGTAAGGGCTGCAGTGTGTTCTGCTTTGGTAGAAAGCTTGATATCTGCTGCTTGGTTTGCAGTGCTGGGAAATGAAGTAATGTCTGTCATTGTGTCCAGTTGTGCGCTTTTCAAATCTTGCTTGATAATTGCACGTATGGTAAGCATAAGAATCACTTGATGAAATGATTGATTCTTACAAATTTCGCGAATCGCCTGATGAAGCTGGTTGTAATCAACAGCGAAACGTTGTACTCTAATTGTAAATGTCGTGGGTGTTTTCTCCAACACACCGGTGTGCTGAAGTAGTAAATAATTTAAAACGTTTGGTTTACGTGACAAACCTTGCTAATTAGCTGTGTCGGGTGGTGGTGGGTGTAATGACACATTTATATTATGTGATCTAACCCAAAACAACCCTTTATTGAAGTTGTTTGTGACTTTCCCAATTTCTATGTATTACAAGGGATACGTTTTGGATGGTGACACGTCAAACGTTTTATCGCCCGTTTTCCTCTAACGCACAGACCCGCGAGACGTTTTGAAACAACGTTGCACGCTTTCGATTTTTGCTCTTGCCGCATCCCAACACACAAGGCACGCGCTGGCGCCAACGCTTGACCGACTACACCTCCACCTCGGAGGACGAGTTCGGCGCCAGCCGTGGTGGCGGAGGGGCCGCCCCCCGCTACTCAATCCGGATGCGTGCACCGGGAGCTCCCGCGGACACCAGGGGGGGCGCGACGCGGGGTGGGCCCGCGACGGCCACGCTGGCGGCGCCTCACCACCACCACCATCACCGGCCACCGTCCGGATCATCGTCCTCCACGTCGACGGTGACGTCTTCCCGGCCCCACTCTGGCGGCGTGGGAGCGGCGTTGCCGCCCCGCGGCGCGGGGTCCGCGGCAACAGGCGGCGGTGCCGTGGCGCCGGGCGGCAGGAGGGGCGGCGGCGCGAGTGGCGGCGGGGCGGCTCACACGGGCGCCGGCAAGCCGCAGGCCAAGGGCGGAGATGAGGATTACCTGAGGCACTGGACGGTGCACAGCGAGGAGATTGCAAGGTGGGTGCGGTGGCTGCGTCTCACCGTGAAGATGTGGTTGTTGTTGTTTTTGTTGTCAGCCTGCGAGTCCCATACTGCTGGGTAAAGACCTGACCCCATCTTCTTTCAATCTTTTGTTTTATTTGCCGTTCTTGCCCGGTGGTGGCTTCCCAATTCTTTGATTTCATTGCACCAAGTCTTCTGCCATCTTCTGCTTCTCACCGTGATACAAACGCACTAAACAATCGGGGTGGATTGACACATCGATTCACCAATTTAGATTTTGAAGGTCACCATAGATGCATCGATCCACGCAAGCATCGATGCTTTTGATTTGTATATGCTGTATACAATGGGTTCGTGTCATCTCTGCGGCCGCGAATGATGCAGCTGCATAGGTTTTATTATTGAGGCTGTTATTACCATGTCAAAGCACCGAGCCATTGAAAAGCTGGGTTTGATTTCATGCAGCCATCTTGGATTGAACCACATTCTCAAGCGTAACGAGTTGATGGTCTCCGCTTTTGCGGCCGTCTGGAATGCTCTTCCTTCCGATATTAAGAAGCCACTGGAGCTTTGCTCTTTTTAATCTAAATTGAAAGCTCATTCTTTTTAGCTACTTTTGTGTTTAGTTTGTTGTCCTTCCCCAACACCTCCAATTAGCACAGTTGGCTACCTACGGTGCGAAAGAAGTTCAACATGCATACATACCACCTTTCTTTACCTGCTCGGCTCCTCATTCTTCATGCCACCTGCCTCCCGGCCGGAAAATCAGTTCTGGCCGTTTGGTCAGATCCTCTGTTGTTAAGTTACGGCGCGTAAGAAATTCAACAATGCATTCAACCAATGTTGCACGTGCCACAAATCGACTTTGACGGACACCCCTTGGTCTCGTCGTCGACGTCCGCGCATGTTTTGTGACGGCCACACGGTGACGGGGCCGACCTCCTGGCATGCCGCAGGATCAGCAAAGACCTCGCCAAAGACCTGGCCATCCTGGCACGCGAGATCCACAGCGTGACGGGAGACCCGGACGGAGTCAGCTCATCGGGCACGGCACCCAGCACCACGGGCAGCACGGGACCACCCACCCCCGGGTCTTCGATCGACGCGCGCGAGGAGGTACACAAATGACAGTCGTACGGTGCCAGAGGGCACATTTGTCAAAAAAGGTTTTTTCGTTTACAGAAGTATCTCTTCATATTTAAAGCCAGCAACATGCTATTGTTTAGACATAGCGGGTTTTCTCAGAAATATTATTGAGAACAGAGCTAGACTGATCCAATGGTATGTTAATCTCATGGTACTTTTATTTACTAGAGGATGACATTTGGTGTTGTGGTTATTTGAACTTGGTGAATATTGCCTAATCTGTATTTATTAAATAGTATATATTCACATGATGCAGTTACATTTATGAGAAAATGTAAATGCACCGCAACTTAACTGGCCAGATGACTGCCAGAGTGCTTCTCTGCCAGAGATCACATTTGCATGAAGGCCATGTTAGTAAATTTTCTGTCATTAAGATATCGCATGAGCATCACATTGTAGGCGTGTCCCGACATACTTAGATGTACGAATGCACTAGAGATGAACACGGAATGTTAGACTTGGCGGTTTCTATTCTGATGCCAGTAAATTGGAAACCAATTGTTTTTGTCAGTAATCAACCACAATGTTGACTGATTATGGGGTCGACGCATAACAACACAATGTAGTGTACAAAGGAGGTGGCTGGGGATAGATTTAGTGGGGATAGCAAATGGGGTACCTGTATTGACGTCCTTCCGATTCTCTCCTACGCCTCGCACGCTCCCGTGGATACAACTCTCACCCTTGTCATCTCCAACACCAAGTCTATCTCACTCACCTCCATCTCATCATCCCCACCCATATTTTTCGCCGCTATTTAAACAAATGTTCATCTTGCCCTACGTTCCGGTTCCACGTGGCCTTCAGCTCGCGAAGCATCCCGACTCCTTCATTTATCCGTTCTTGGTGGGCCTCAGGTGGTGGCGTGGCCCAGCAGTAGCGCGTTTGACGCTTGTTGCAGAAGTTCGCTGTTCATGCCCGGCAGTCGCCCGGGTTATTATTTTTATTTATAAAGAAACGCACGTGCCTAAAGCACCAGTGGTATTTCATATTTTGGGAAATGTGGCGGCGTTATCACGTGTCTCAGTATCAAGTAGAAAAATATAAAGTCAATAACTTGTTCATCTCTAGAGTATTCGTATGAATATAGTTCTTCAAAAAAAATCCATACATTTTACGATGATAATCAGTGTCAAAATTGTATATATTACATTGCTGATCGATTCGTGAATACTCTTTTTTTTATCTTATTGATATACAACATTTAAATGTAGAAAACAATCCATCGAATGCCATTAACTAGTCACATCTAAAAATATAACAATGCCCGAGTAAAGGTAATTCATTCGTTGACGTTGCAAGAACTGGCTGCTGGCTGTCTTTCCTTACCGTCTGTGCCTGTTTTTATTTGTCGAGCACAACACACCCCTGAACTTTTCCCCCTTTGCTGCTTCTCTCCTCTCTGCGGTCCCTCCCCCCTCCTTGTGCCCTCCTCTCCTACACTCTTCCCCGCTAGCTTGTGCCTCGCATCTTTGATGAGAGCCTGAACTTTAAGAAAGTGCCGCTGCCGGAGAGGCCTTGCGGGGATAGCAATGATGCCACCGGGGGTCAAAAGTTATCAGAGGTCAAAGATCACTTTACTCCCATCACGAGGAAGAGAACCTGGAGTAGAGATGAGGTCGATAAGAAGCTTTGAGTGTCGATCTATTTGTGTATTTATTTAATTGTTTTATTTTGAGAGTGTCTTAACCCTTTCACTTTGTGGTTAAATTAAGGGATGGTCGTTAGGAATGATGTGTTTCCTAGTTGGGTACATGCTCATGCCGAATTATGTGGGTTTCAATGTCTGGTGGTGGTCAATGGGAGTGGCATTCAAATGCTGGCAGCAAATTACTTTCCGTAAAAAAATAAGAGGCACGTGCATTTTGAGTGTAATATTAAGTGTCTTGATGTTTAACTATAACTTAACCAACCCATGTGGCTAAATGATTCAGTGAATCAATCCCTGGTGTTTGTATTTATGTTCATTAAGAGTACTGTGCTTGAGCAAATCGTACTTTGTTTGGCCGATTAAATTCATATCCCACAATTGTTTACAGAACAAATCAAGGTATCAGGATTTAATGTGTAAAGGTGCAGTTCGGTCGCATTTGGAAAGCGCACTTTTTGCCATTTCACCGTAATTATTTGAAAACACGACAACTTCAAAGGGGCAAAGTGGGATAATAAGACACCAAAATAACTGACAATACAAGGAAATAGCATTTCAACATCTCACATATCATTAGGCATATTGATGCAAGTTTAATTGTTAAATATGATTGGCACACTTTTTCTAAATACTCATGTCAGCTACAGGAAAATCGGCTCACGCTTATCTCCCACACAGAATTTGTAACCAGTATACGGTGAGAAACCCCACACTGACTCTCAAAGCCGTTAATTCTCCAATTTAACAATGGTGTTTGTTAATTGCATTCACTGCAGACACGAACTGGTATGGAAGTGTGATGAGAAGTGGTATTCATCTACAAAGGCCTCTGAAGAAGTAATCCTTTTGAAATGCGTCATACATACTCTTCATCAATTGCAGGCTTTAATCAACTGAAGTGATATGCACGGTTCCAATTATGGGTATCGCAGCAGGCACATTATTCAGCGTGTGAATGACGGGTCCTGGTTATCGCATGAGCACATTATTGTAGCATTAATCAAGCAGGGTAGACGCTGAGAAGCCAGGAACCCACATTTAAAGGGGCAGAGCACAAAGAACCTGTGCCCACTAATGTTATATTCTTATACAGTGTGGGGTTGTGGGTTGGAAGTGACTAAAGGTATGTCCTTTTCTCATTATTTCACAAGCATGACTGATAATATGGTAATCCAGTTTTTATTGTAACCCGAATACAATGCACTCAACCCAGCTCGCCCAGATTCCCCGCTGCGTTGGCTCACATTGCCATGCTTCCACGTGTGCCGAATGGAAACACATTTTAGCTTAAATAGAATTTGTTTTTTGGGAGGCTGTAAGTTACGCTCCTATTGCGTCAGTTTTCCACGTGAAATATTTCACTTGGCAAGTGCGATATTGAACAAGTGCAAGACTTGACCTAACGTTGCAGACGATGTCTCGTGAGGCTTTACACAATGTATTTGCTTCAAGCGAAACGCACAAAGATGTGTAAGCACGCAGCGTCTGTGCGTATACAAGAAAAAACATCCAGCGTTTCCTTTAAGAAGTGCACTGTGGTCCTCTTTGCTTACGTCACCATCAAAATAAATGAGCAAATGTGACCGACTGACAGCTTTCGGCATATGCAGAGAGGCTGCGTCTTCGACACACAATTTCGTGTTGCTTGAAATTCTACGGTTTTCCGGGTTACACTGTTAATTATGTAATGGTGGCGTTTTCTCATCATTCACACATTTTATTACATTGTATTTAACTGTTTTTATAATTCGAAGCCAAGGACAGGAGACTGTGAGAGTGAGGTGACGAGGTTCAGGCCTCCTGCTTATCCTCCGTCACAGTTTATGTGCATTGTTTACTGCTGAAGAGAACTGCTTGAGAGCAGCACCATTACACATTGTATCGCTCCACTGGCTATGACTGGCAATAGCAATCGCAGGGATTAGGACATGCACTGTATTCAATACATTTGGCGGCTACTACTGTTGTATAAATTGGCTGTTTAACTTTCAATCTTTAAATACTTTTATGAAGATGACAAAAAACGCGAACCTGCATTGAAGCTGTATTTTACTGAACGACAAAAATTTGCAATCGCTATTAACCCAAATTTCTTTTCATTTACAAAAAAAAATTCAGTTACCGGTCGCTCACAATTTTACATGGACCTCGATTATGGAAAATTCCTTTTTGATTTTAATGAGTGGAATCCTTGGTGTGATGGACAGTGAGACATTGTATAAGATAATTGTTTGGAATTTCCAAATAACGTTGAGTACAGTCTGCTGATACTCATATCTGTGAGGTGAAGCATTTTTTAAAATTACCTCTTGAAGGCATCGGCTTTTTAATATTCTACCCATGTGCGGTTCGAGTCCCCAGTCGTGAGTACGGCTCTACCAAGCCCAAGCACAGCGATGTTCACCCCCCCCTCCATAAAAACAATAATTCAGCTTATACTCCTACAATTTACGTGAAATATGATATATGTGAAAGGGTTAAGGCTTTTTCAATCTATTTCCTACGTTTTAAGTAACAACTTGTCTGCTTTTAGCCAAATGGAACATGTTACTGCATGCATGGCATGGATTTAAACAAACACACGGTGGTTTACATTTTGTGTTTGTGGCTCTGATGTCTTTTGAAAAGGAGTCTAAATATTTTGAGAATGGAAATTACTAGAATGTTGTGATTATCGTATTTCAGCAATTCTATTTACTAAATTATATTCCTACTTTGGTAATTGATAAAGTTACATTTTTTCAGTCATATTCGGTGTCATAGAATAAACACATTTGGGTAACAATTCTAAAAAGATGTGTTTGTCATTAAGCCCTCTTAATATCCATTTCTCAAAATGTTTTACCCTTCTGGAATATACCTTTGTATGTATCACCAACATTCGTAATGTATGTGCACATTAATTGTCATTTGTCACAATGCGCATTGAGATTGCTAAAAAAAATCATTGATGCTCGAGGCTTTTGCAAAAATTTTGCAATTTTCTACCCACGTTGCACGTTTTCACCGGCGTGTGGATACAAAATCAGATGACCCATCAACATCGTCGCAGCTGTTGTCGTAGTCTGCCTGTGAATCAGTAAAGGTTGTTTATTCCTGGGAAAATAACGTGGAAGTGCTTTACAATTGGGAATATTAAAATGCACAAATAAATAGCAATAAATGAATGGAGATGCTCATTATGGGTATTAAAGCTGAACTGCAAGGATTTTGAAAGATAATTGCTTAAACTATGCTTATTAAATTGGTTTTGCTTTTCAATCAAAGATTTTTCATCCATTAGTAGTAATTTCGTGTAAAACTAATTATTAATTGCCAGACCATGAACTTTGTTTTACAATGTTCGTGGTGGTGTTTGATCAGTCGTGTATCTTATATATACAGCTCTTATATTAATCCACGCTGGAGGCAAAGGGATAAAGAAGTAAATGTGCCTATTCATGTTGACGCATTCGTGGCAGGGCATGTCAATGATAGAGCTTGGTATTGACAATTTTCATCACGGAGCGATCATATCATATATATCGTCATGTTTTCATCGTTGCATTGGGAAGTGCCCGGACGAAGTCGTGATAGTGTGACAATCGGATGTGTGCGGGAGCAATCGGCGTTGATAGGAAGTGATCGTGTTGATTGGAACGTGCGATAGTGCGATGCGAAGATGCAATGCAAGGTTAGGATTTGAAGTGGGATTTGGAGAGTGGCGTGCGATTGGCTGATGGTGCATGTGGCTTGTATGATTTGCGTCGGACGCGTGTGATAATGGAGTAACGCGACGATGTGTTGATGGGCCTCGCTGTCTGGGATGGCAGGTGGTGCTTGATACCCTGATGCTCACCTCCATCGCCCAGCTCTCTCAGCGTATACGCTCCGCTACCGACAAAACCACCTCCAAGATCCGGTGGGAAATTACAACGTTGGGCTATTATATTGCCAGAGATTTAGCAGCATAGGAGCCAATGATTATGTTTTAATCATACTTTTATTGTTAACTCCTATGTAGAATTACTTGTGTGAGAGTACAAGCCAAATCGTATGCATACCATGTGTATAAACACGAACCATCTGAAGGTGTTTTGCTTTTTGATTCATATGTTTTCTAAAAACTAATGAAGGGATGTGTTCGAGTGAATTTGAGATTTAAAAGCCACAGTTTAGTTTTTTGGAATCAAGAATGGGTGAAAATGACCGCAAGGCTTTTCCGATCTCAATTTTTTCCACTGCTCATGCATCAAACTATATCGCATAGATCAGTAAACACGGGTAATATAGGAAGCGCATAGGTCATACTGAGGTGGAAGGTCATGTAGTCGCAGCTAAAACCTACTCGTGCTTTGTTAATTGTTGATCGTGTTTCTCTCTCAGTTACCTGTTTAAAGACCAGGACCTTCCCTGGGAAGCGATCGAGTCCAAGCTCAGCTTCGATGGCGAAGTGCCCCTCCTAAGGACCACCAGCAGGGTAAGCACTGGGGCTGGTTCCCACTGGGGCTGGTTCCCACTGGGGCTGGTTGCCACTGGGGTTGCTGCGTGATGGCAGTGCTCTACGATACATCGTAGGGTGTAAGATCCACGACAATTGCATTGTTCTATTTAAAAATATAAATTTTTATTTATCATTACTCAGATTTTTTTTCTTAACTACTTAATTTCCTGCCAAAATATGTATGAAATAACAATGATTAAAGCAAACCGGAGTACCTGGTGTGCGTCGGGCAACACTCAACCAATCTCTGTCCTGATGGAAATTAATTCCACTTCGTCATATGTCATACCCTTGCAATCCCGGAGATGGCGACATTGATACCCCGGGGAGGGAGTTTCAAGTCTATGTGATCCACCAACACCAGAGGTCGCAAACGGGTTTTGATTCCTTACCCGTACCCGTACCCGGCCGCACCAGGGTCGCAAATGGGTACCCGTACCCGTACCCGGCCGGGTACGGGTAGCCGGGTATCGGGTAGGGTACGGGTATCGGGTACCCGGTTGCGACCTCTGACCAACACTCGCCTCCAGTGCTGACTTACAGACATACACCACCGCGCCCGACTAACCATATACATAACTCGTGTTTATTTAGTTAATATTTGTTAACATCTGTCAGTGTTGAGCTAGACGTGGCCAAGAGTAGGTTGGAGTGCTTTTGGAAAGCCGAGCAGTGTTTTTTTTATTGTAATCTATATTAATACCGTTATAATTTTGCCTTTCTACATTTAATCATTGCACGTCATACTGCATGCCCGTCTTATAAATGGTAATGCATTCGTTTTGAATACATTTCTCTTTCTGATTGCATTGCAGGAGCTGACATCCATTCTACAGGACCTGAGAAAAGTTGAGAAGCAGCTGCAAGGTAAGAAAATGGTGCCCACTCTGTGCTCAGCCGATGCCTCGTCATGGTGGCATCACAAGAGGTTACTGAGAAGGGAACGCTTGCGACTGAAACTACACGAGAGATATCCGGCATGTCAGAGACGACATATTGACAATTAATAACTAAGAAGAAAATGGGCTTGGGCAGGACCCACCGGTAGACAGGCGATGGACGAGACTGGTGACAGAATGTCAGCCAAAGGAGAGGACTCGTCCAAGAGGGCAATCGCCTTGAAGATGGAGCCATGAGATCGGTTCAAGTGCAGGAGAGTGCGATGGATGCGAGCGGCACTGGGCCGTGAGGGATGGGGCCTGCATGGGAAGGCCTTTATCCAGCAGCGGATTGATAAACGCCCGAGGATGATGACCCGAGGACACGTTTTTAGAGGGGGTTTTCTTATCTGCGTGTGCATTTTTGTTCAAATGATATTTGGTAATGCCACAAGTGACCAGCATGAGGAGCCCTTGGCCCAGGCAGTGATTATACGCACTTCATTGCATCATGCAGGAGCGCTTACGTGGCGTTCAAAACCAAATCGCCGTTCGCCACGAAGGAGCAAGTTGTTAACGTGGCCGCTTATTTGCAATGCTTTTTTCGTAACGTTTGAGTTTCGTGGTAAAGCACCAAAATGGCCTGTGTGATTTATAACCACGTGCACGCACAATGAAGCATCAAACACGCACAATCGCGCGCTGCATTTTAACTAAATTGTGACTGCAGATATGAGCGTTTTTTTGCATCTCGAAGGAACGGACTTGAATCTTTTGCAAGCCTAGTGGCTATGTTGGCTTGAGACCAACGGTGATGGGGCTCTAAACCACCGTGTCCAAGTAAAGGCGTATCGTTACATTTCTTAACTGTAGGCTTATTGTGGGGAGCGGTAGTGTTGTGGCGGTTAGCGCGCTGCGCCACAAACCCGGCAACCCGTGGTTGATTCCCGCTCACGACCAACACCAGTGACGATTATCTGAACCGGTCCTGGGCCCTTCCCTAGGTCGACTCGGCCTTATTTGAGTACCTGGTGCGGTGTGTATATACATTGCCAGTCGGGAGACAAAGGCGGCTGGGCACGGTGCTGGCCACCCACCCCCTTGTGTGCCGTTCGTAGCCTTCATCAGTGTTCGCTAACAGCACTAGCCCCAACAGTCTGAAGGCTATATTGGGGGATTTTTACCTTTGTCTCTGTAAACACAAAAAAAAGTAGGGTCTGTGGTCTGCGCTGTGGGCCGCATCGCGTTGCTCGGCATGATGTCCGACCTTTCACTCCACATGCTTGGAAGCCTCTCGAGGAGCAGTATTGAGCAGCTCGATGGATAACACGAGCCGCCCAATTCACGTGCTGAAGAAGGCTTCCAGCACATGGAGCGAAACGTCGAACGTCGTGCCAAAACACCGTGTGGTACAACGCGAAAACACACGGAGAGAGCTGTACAGCACAAGCCTTGACATACCGTTGGTATGGACCAGTGTAGGTCATCTGTAAACGCTATATACCGTGCACATTGCCGCAAGGTAACTCTTTAACATGGTATATTTCAGCTCGTTGAAAGTAAAAAAAATGTTGAGTTAATTGAAATGTCATGATTAATGACGGACAGATATATCATATGAGGTCCAAGACAGATCCATTGTCGTGTAACAGAACCAAAATACCTTTTAGCAAATGCAGTATTCAACGAATGAGCAAGCTTTAGATTGTTCGCCTGTATACCATTTTACAAAATACTATATCTTGTCAGGGGTCATCAGGCACTCACACTTGGTCGCTCATGTGTCCAGGGGATATTGTGGAAGGGTGCATCTTTATATAGCACAGTTATGCACACTCACCAGCCAATGTGTAACTTACACTGCATGGAAGGCATGTCGGGGGGCATCGTCAACTGTGGCTGGTGGTCTCGCTGACTCCACTGTGAGAGCCACGAAACTCCTGTAAGGGATCCAGAGGATGACTATAACCTGAGCCAGACACGGAGTTCAAAATCCTATTTCACAGTGCACGCACAATGATCTTGATCATCCCGTGCGTGCATGCAGTGCACGCCGTGTTAAGGAGGTGTATGGAGCTTACGTTTACATCCTTGTATTTCATGCGCAGAGAGCTGCCCCGATCTCATGGTCTCTCTGAATAAATATTATTAAATTGTAATGATATAAAACAGAAGAAAATACTGCAGTTCGGACACGGAATAAGCTGACCAGGATCCCATGGTCGGCAATGTGACAATATTGGAATGAAATAAGAGTAGAGGGAGACAGAAAGGCAGGTGAACAGATGCAGTTGTAATACATCAGCAGAAGGGCCTCCACTCGAGGGGGGGAGCTCTAGAGAGCCCCTCTAGAAGGTGGTTTGGCCTACGTGCCATGTTGTCCAAACGCCTTGGAAGAGGTGGAGTACCCACACTTTGCCCCACCACACGCAACCTGCTGATAGACTAACCGTGGTCTACCCATGAATATTGCCGCACGAACAGAGGCCGTGGGGGGGCGGGGGGGATTTGAGAAACTTTCACCAGCGTTTTCACGGCCACGTTGAGAATTCTAGCCAGCAAACGTGCGGCGTCGAGATTGCAGGCCACGTGTGCTCACCATTACACCATGGTGGCGTTCGCGATAAACGAGTACAGCATAACAAGAGGACCGAACAAGGTTGGTAAAAAATTATGTACAATGTAAAGAATGTAAAACTGGACTGTCATTTAATAACGTAGGAATATTGATATAACGTGTCCATTTCAAATGCCAATATCTCTCTTGCGGGGAAGCCAACTGCGGTATTTAAAGTATGGCTTTCCGTTGTATCCCAATAAATATGAATTTGTAAAAAAAAGGCATTACTGGAGAATTTAATTGTAACCTCATATTTTCCAAACCCAAGAATAGGAAACCTTGTTAATAAATATAGAATTTCTCGATCGTATAAGCAAGCGCGTGGTGTGTTGCTTGTATTTTTCAAATGTTGTCATGGGGATGCGGAGGCACAATACAGCGTGTGGGTCTGGAGAGGGCTAATACTACTCCGTAATGAAATATAAACGCCGGTGATGGGCCAGCACCTCGCATGCTCTGGACCCAACTTGGACCAACCAAACACAGAGCCCCCCATCGGTCGATGGAAATTGTGGCCCGATTAAACTTTCCATGTTTCCTCACCCCCCCCCCCCACTGTCCAGATAGTTTGTATTTCTTGTGGACTACTACTACCTTATCGGGAGAAAGTCCACCTTTACTGTTCAAGACAAGGTCACAGACAGTGGCTATTCATTCAATTATAAATGGGTAGTAAGGATAAAGGTACAGTCCTGCAATTGCTCGCTCACGCCACTGCTGGCAGAAAGGGACTCCACTAGACAGACGTCTGGCTATCTATCAAATATCGAATTGATTATAAGGCCCTGCTATTGACCTACAAGGCTGTCAATGGGTTTAGTCGCACAATGCTTACAGGAACTCATTCACTTCTTTACACCACCAATGAGGTCCTTGACAACTTCTGATATCTCCTTTTTAGTATTTCGAGGTCAAGGCTCCGTTTCTGGGGTGATTGGGCTTTTGCCGGTGCAGCTTCAAGGCTATGGAACGCGTTGGCCTCTGACAATAAAAGCAGTTTGTGTGTTTTTCTTGCATGGTGTTGCTGCCTTTTTCTATAGATACAGACATATCTGGCATTTTCACGTAAACACCAGCGAGTCAGATATACGACGTTGTACTACAATGGAGGAGTCTTTTCTTCCCCTCAATTACATGTCATTCACAATGTGCAGTAGATGTGTGTTGATCAGGAAGCATGAAAGCTGGACTAGCACCGTTAAACTAAGAATATCCTTAAAAGTTCAGAACTACAACAATATACGGCAATATCCCGGTTTACGTCGGGGACGCGTTCCTGAAAGGTGCGACAATTACGAATATCGAAAAGACGTCAATCGAAGCGGTGTACAGGCTAGTAGTAGTAGGTGGTGGTGGTGGCGAAGGCTGAGAAGCGACGGGTAACGAGAAAAGACGGACGATGCCGTCGGCGAAGTAAGTGTGGGGTTGAGGCGACGCAAATCGGGTATAGGTGTAGCGGTGTTATTTCACGCGGACAACTTTTTTTTCCTCCCGTGTCACTTTATTCGTACAGAACTCCTCGCCTTCAACGCCACGTATCTCACGTGCAAACCTTCCGCTTGTACTGCTCGTCTGCTCCGCTCGCTCGCGCTCTCTCGCTCGCTCCGCTAGCCTGTCACAGTACACTCTGCTAGCTTCTCCACTGCTAGCCTCCTGCTATACACTCTGCTAGCTTCTCTACTGCTAGCCTCCTGCTATACACTCTGCTAGCTTCTCTACTGCTAGCCTCCTGCTATACACTCTGCTAGCTTCTCCACTGCTAGCCTCTCACCGTACACTCTGCTAGCTTCTCCACTGCTAGCCTCCTGCTATACACTCTGCTCGCTTCTCTACTGCTAGCCTCTCACTATACTCTCCGCTAGCTTCTCTACTGCTAGCCTCTCACTATACTCTACGCTAGCTTCTCCACTGCTAGCCTCTCACTATACTCTCCGCTAGCGTCTCTACTGCTAGCCTCTCACTATACACTCTGCTAGCTTCTCTACTGCTAGCCTCCTGCTATACTCTCCGCTAGCTTCTCTACTGCTAGCCTCTCACTATACACTCTGCTAGCTTCTCTACTGCTAGCCTCTCACTATACACTCTGCTAGCTTCTCTACTGCTAGCCTCTCACTATACACTCTGCTAGCTTCTCCACTGCGAGCCTCCTGCTATACTCTCCGCTAGCTTCTCTACTGCTAGCCTCTCACTATACACTCTGCTAGCTTCTCTACTGCTAGCCTCTCACTATACTCTCCGCTAGCGTCTCTACTGCTAGCCTCTCACTATACACTCTGCTAGCTTCTCTACTGCTAGCCTCTCACTATACACTCTGCTAGCTTCTCTACTGATAGCCTCTTACTATACACTCTGCTCGCTTCTCTACTGCTAGCCTCCTGCTATACACTCTGCTAGCTTCTCCACTGCTAGCCTCTCACTATACACTCTGCTAGCTTCTCTACTGCTAGCCTCTCACTATACACTCTGCTAGCCTCTCTACTGCTAGCCTCTCACTATACACTCTGCCAGCTTCTCCACTGCTAGCCTCTCACTATACACTCTGCTAGCCTCTCTACTGCTAGCCTCTCACTATACACTCTGCCAGCTTCTCCACTGCTAGCCTGCCTATCCTCTTCCATCCTCGCCCGTGCCTCCAGCGAGGGATCAGCCATCACCGCTGGAGAGAACGAGGTGTGGAGAGGGGGTCCCGGACTTCTCTTGAATTCCCTCTTGTCTTCACTCCAACCAACCTCTGCCTCACACGTTCCTCTTTTATCCTCCTCCTCATTAAGTGCCCTCAGGTGGCCCTCGTCAAGCCGGTGTCTTCCCGACGTCTCGCGCACGTGTCCGCTTCCCCTGATCGCCTCTTGATTGGTCGCCTTCCTCTGATTGCTCTCTATGCGCCTGTTTGTCCTGACGAGACTTCACTGACCGCCGCTCACACGTGCGTGCACGCTGTTTGCAAAACCCTCCGCTACATCGAGATAAATAAAGTGATGACTTGTTTTGCGAGACAACGTTAAAGGGGGGCAGACGTAAATCGGTAAGTTGTTTGGAAACGTATCGCAAACACCCAAAAGCGACATTGACATTGTTAATTAAATCACGTGTTTTAGCATTGGTCAGTCCTTGCGTAGGGTCAGTGGCATCGCACCGCCGTCACGCAGAATTCGGCATCGGTGTTTACTTATCCGCTCTTCGCTCGGCACACCAGTGTCGTGCTCGGCGACCCTTGCTTGCAACAACCAGCATTACATCAATTGACCGGGCAGTCCAACGGTGCAATATGCTCTCTTATTGAACAGCCTTAGACAACATGCGCACAAGTACAGAATTATTAAGAAGTCCATACAACTTTTCCACATTCAATAATCCCGGAGCCCTCCTGAAAACAACCCTTGGGACTCGGTGTGGCTTCCCTGGGCAAATACGTAGTTGTCGTGTTCTATTTTAAATTTGGAATTATGAAAGGTTTAAACCAAGACTGGACTCCTGCACAATAGTATTTGACATTGTAATTATCCTAATTCGTTCATAAGGAATCTCTTGTATTGGTTTTTCACCATTAACAGTATCACCAAATGTTGCTGCTGTGTAAGGAAATATATTAGAAAAAAAACCTATACACCTCGGGGGGGGGGGAGTGCAAGTTGCATGGTTAATATGATTACTCACTGGAGTTTGTGTGAACCAAGTGTGTGATTAGAATCTGATGATAGCTGGAAGGCAAATATATTAATGGGTATTTTACCTGGTAAATTGTTCCCTGTAAATGTAGAAAACATATCAAATGTCATAACTGATGCAATTAAGGAATGATTATTTCCTTTGCCCAGGGCTTAAATAACATCATTATACTATAGATGTAAAAAAAGTGAAAATTGCAATGGATATCCTCTAGCCGTCAATTTGAAATAAAAATTCGATTTGATCATTTTGATAGTAAATGTGTGTATGGTATATTTGTGATCCGTGTCATTTACACCAAAACATTATTTTGCAGTAAATAAAGGTCGGGGAAAATATTTCTGTAAACACTTTTAATGTTGGTACCTACTATTAAAGGTTCTGTGCAATCAAAGTCAAGGCAAGACTAATTATATATTTAATTCCACGCGTTCCTAGTAAAAAAAGAATGTTTGGTTTATGTTAATGTAAGTAACTGAATAAAACAGTCTATTTGTAATTCCACTGCTCAATGAAGACCTCCTCCTGCATTTGTCACGGGGGCTGTTTGACCATACTTCACCGCGCTGGTCAGTGCCTGTGTTTGAAAGGGGGAGGGTGTGTGTGTGTGTGTGGGATGGGGCGATTAAATAGTTCAACATTAAGCGTAGCATCCTTTGTGTATCCTCAAAACTTTAGAGTAATAATAATTAAGGCTGCGGCAATAGTTCAAGATCTCGTGACACCCAAATTAGCCATGCATGCTGACGTGGGTGGTGAGTTTCGTCTGCTTGCGTGGATGTGCGTGTGGAGATCGCTGTCTGGAAGTTTGGTCGAATGTCTCTGCCCAGGTTATTGCAACATGCCAATTAACGAGGAATGGACATCCTGTGAATCATGTTTAAGGCCATTCTATAACTTAAGTGAATAACGCGTAATTGCAAGAGACCCTATTGGCGTGTTCCAGTTGGCGTCATGCACCCATTTGTACGTGCATTCTTTCATGTCAAAGCAAGGCCAAAAAAGTGTTTCCAGTCTATCGCAGACGGCAGTGAATTACATATTTCGTATTATTTCTGGCGAAGTGGCTGGGATAATTTTGTGTAGCTTTTGGCAAAAGCTTGGATACAAAAAACAATATATTAATTCGGTCTCGACTCTTATTAGTGACCTGCTGTGAATAAGATCGATGCATTTGCATACATTGGAAGACTTAATGTGAATTGTGCTGCTTTTGGGTAATGCTTTATACCACATTGACACAAAGTATGTAGTTGTGTCGAAAAGTGTTGAGTTAGTGCATTTGGAACACACTAATACAGCTCATATCCAGATTAAGAGTTTCTTTCCAAATACTTAGTACAGCCGAGTGCACTCCAAAGGGAGTGCTACTCTTGTATAATGTCCAGCGGATTCCCTTCCAGACATTCCGTTTATACGTTTGGGGGTAAAAGCAGAATATTGAAACTTGTTTTCCTTGTCTCTTCCCCTATCGCTCGACTCCTTTCTAGAGATGGCAGTTCTAACCCAGCAATCAGAAACGGTCTCAACGCACCATGTTTTGATGCATCATTATTATTTATACACCCGACTTTTGGAGGCTGAGTGTCAGTTGGTACATGGCTCAATTTTTCGGCACAAATATGTAAAAAAAAAATAGTGAGTCGAACGTGCTCTTTCATTTAAGGCAGTGCGAATGAAAGAAAGCATATGCAACTACAGTATCTGCGTTTAAGCCATCTCAAATGAGAAACGTTGATGTCAGCAGCTTTAACAGTAACTAAGTAAAAATCCTTCATTTATAATTGTGTAACTTCAATTGTCCTAGCCCCGCTCTTGAGGTTTAAGATGTTTAAATACGCGATATCGGATGACGAAAATGCAGCAAATCACTCTTGATAGAACATAATTGAGCATCAATTAGTGTTGGATTAGAGTGACCAATTTATTTGACTACAAAGCTATTCTGTTTTGCTACTGTCTCGTGTGATGTCATGCTCTGCTGACTGAAGGAGTGCAGGAAGGCCGACATGCATTGTGACGTGGTTCCGATTTACAGACATGTAATATTATTGGTTATAAGGTTAAGTACTGCCTTAAACGATTAACAGGCAGGACCTCATTTCTGTCGGTGACGCAAAGCCAATTGGTGAAACATTTATTGAAACCAATTGTTGCAACAACAAAAAAATCAACATGGTCAATAACACCGAGGCGTTGAATGAAAAAATATCGTCGATGTATCGGGCAATGGTCCTTAATAGTCCATGAATAGAGATATAGAGTGGAAAATTTTAGTTGGAGACTGCACTTTATACCATGGGGCCTGATAAAAATTACATTTAAAATTGTATCCTCGTGAAACAGTGTTTTAATTGGCATATAAAAAGCTACCTATTAGTAGCTATTGAGTAACAGACACACCTTTCAATAATCAACTGTGTATTGCTAAACAAACTCTTGATAAAATTATCAATCGTTGCCGGTAACGTCGCAAACTCCCCTTTGAGGGCTTATTGATGGTCAGTGTAGTCTGACCTAAACATGATTTGTCGTTTTTTGTTTGGCTACGTCCGTCTTGCAGTGATCAACTTCATCATTGACCCCGACCGCGTGTTGGAATCCGCGGGGACCTTGAACACGCCAGTGACCGCCACCACCCCGGCCAGGGCCGCGTGCGGCTACACGACGCAGTCCCCCGGCGTGACGGCCCCGCAGCTCGTCCACGCGACGTCGGCCGGCGGGCAGCCGACCCCCGCCGGCTCCCTGACCCCGATGCCGGCGTCCAGCGGCCATCCCGCCCCGTTCCCGGGCCACGGCGTCCCGTCGTTCGCCGCGGCGTACGCGCCGCCGTCGAGCGTCGGCCAGGAGACGAGCTCGTCGCAGGGCCGCGGCGTCGGACGGGACAACGGCGGCCCCCCCCCGCCGCCGCGGCTGTCCCTGCTCGCCGTCTCGGTGGACGCGGAGAGCCTCGACGGTTCGGGGACGGACGCCGGCTCGCGCTCCGCTCGCTCAAACGGCGCCGGCGGGGGGGGAGATGGCCAAGGCTCGCAGGGGTGAAGTGCGTCGCCGCTGAATTTGCGCTCGCTCGCGGTTCTCCTTCGCCAAGCCGACTGTGTGGACGGAGTGGATTCTAATTGGCTCTGTTCTTTTTGTTCGTAACCTGGGTTAGGTTGTCTAAAAGGAAAGAAATGTTTTGGAAATCGACGCGGTTTACGTGGCCTGTGTGTGTGTTTCTTGTGTACAGGCTTAAGCGGTTGCAAAATGAAAAATGATAGCCGATGAAGAGAGGAAACATTTTCAGGCCTTATTAAGAGCATGCTTGGACGGATATCTTATGTAATCACTGTGCGATTGCGTTAGATGCCAGGTGAAACATGCGTTTTGTGCAAAAACCCATCGAGGTGCATCAACTTTTAGTGGAACGTCTTTCTGGCAGCATTATCTTCCACTAGCCACCACACATTTGTCAAAACATGCATCCAATTCAGGTTATATATTGCATCTTTGTTCCAATGCTGTAATAATGACCACCTATTTATATTTCTTTGTTAATTATGAGCACCAACATTCAAATTAATGAGTTTAAAGTTCAGTATTGTATCTTTTTCATTTCCTCATTGTCTTGTCAAGTTACATTTTCTGTGTTATATATTTTTTTTACTTTTACATGGTTCCTAGATTTTTTAAATATTAAATTACAACAACGTGCACTCAGCCGTACTAAGTACTGTCAATCCTACTTCGTCCATGAGTTGTCATCTTATTAAGTAGCTCGCCAATTAATAGCACGGCAATAGTTGCAATGTATATCCATAGTGAAGTTGAGTTTTCTTTTTGCACTTAACACGCGTTTAACTTTAGAGAGAACAGCCCGCTCGTAAGGAATGCAGAATATTTACCGCTGACTCAGGGCCGGCCACCATGGTAGGCAAGTAGCGCCAGACACCGGCTTGTGCTTTACCGTATTGTCTGGATTATGCGACGCCGCTTGGGAAAGTAAGCCGTGGCCCAAACTAGTTCTCGCTATATCAATAACGTTCTACATAAAGCACACCAATTGGAATGTAAGACGCACCCCTATCTTTCGCCTTAATTTCTGGGGGGGTGGGGGGCGGGGGGCAGGAGTGGGCGGGGGGGTCATCGTACAGGGTGACCCAAAAAAAACGGGCCCCAACTCTAATAGGCCCCGTGTGCACGGGGCCCGTTTTTTTTGGGTCACCCTGTAATCTCGAGAATATGGTCGTGTGTTATCACACCGGTGGGATGGCACTGCAGGGATAGTGCTTGACACACGATTGGAAGGATTAGCATCTCAACTTTTAGTCAACTCAACCCACGATCACTCAGGGGTCGGTAGAATGAGTACCACTTTGTGGGAAATCAACAGTGGTGGTCCTACGTAGATACTCTGTTGGCGTCTGCCATGGGAGTGTAAACATTTCCACCACTGGCTCAGGACCAGCGATGGAGATAAGCGTCCACTCCATCGCTCATTTTGAGCAAGGAGGCGCTGACTTTTATTTTGCTTTTGCCAGCCAATCCCAAGAGTATCCATCGTGTCATTAACGATCGTCTGGTAGTGTACACTAGAGCCAATTCTATAGCCTGCACTCAAGACAATGGCACTGCTTTCATAGTATTTTAACTATAGTTTATGAAATGCCTCTTCTGTGAGTAGTAACAGGCATCTGGGGAGTTTAACATTGGCCAGGAATTTTCAATGTGGTTTTTTTTTTCCAAAGGGAAAATGGAATTTAGTAACTCAAGATTTTTCTTTTTTCAAAAGCGTAACCTAATTAAAAAAACGATACCGTACAATATAGTTCAAAGAGATTAAAAGATATCTTTTTCACGAGATACAAGAACATTTTTGGAAAGTTGTGACGTAAGCCATATTTTTTTTTACTATCCGTAAACTTGTTACGTTATTGCAACCAAACTCTCTAAGTGTCATTTGCAATGTTTTTTGTTTACTCCATTGAAAACATTGGAATACAGTAATGACGGTGTTTATTTTAAAGCTGTATTCGTTACAAGATTTATTGCAGAATTAGTTTCTTTTTTTTGTGCCATACCCTGTAACGCACGTACTGGATTATATTTTATAATGCGTACAGCTGGACCTGCGTGTAATATTCGAACTCCTGGGTGACATACAAAAATACATTTCATCCACAGTGGCTAAGGGAGATAGACTACGTCTCGTGTTTGAAATAGATGACGGTGCGGAGAGGGAAGTCTGATTTAGATTAGAAAATAAATTTTCTCCATCTCGGCGGAAAACTTTCAGAGAACATTTACGATGTCGCAGTTTTTTTTGTTTAAATCTGTCTAGTTCGAGGACTCAACACAAGTCGATGATTATTGTTTATTTGCAATTTTGAATGTGTATTTTAACAAAACCGTTTGTGTGTGACCTAGTGAAGACCATAAATGACTAAAAGTAAGTACTAAGTTGGCACTTTTAAGTAATATAACGATTCTTATTTACAGCCCTTTGCCAATCGAATGCTGGTTGAAAGTCTTCCCGTGCCATGTTAACTATGGGGGGGAGGGGGGTTGCTTGACCATACGTCACCATGCTATTCAGTGTGGGTTTGTGAAGGGGGAGAGATTCAGGAATCGGTTTGGATATCGCCTGCCACGTCCATTAACCATGGGAAGGAATCTACGTTAGATCACCAGGTTCATATACAATCCCTTCGTTTTAACTTGCAATGTTCCGTTAGTTGAGACCTTAATGTGTATAAATTAGTTTGACATTAATGAGCCAAGGTTTAAAACTAAATAAAATACACTTCTCATCTTTGTCGGTTATGTGTTAGACAAGCTACAGGTGATATGTCCACTTCAGCAGGAGATACATCATTATTGTAAGAGGCAAAAGTAGCCAGCATGTTAATGTAATGTCACCAATAATAAACTGCTTTTATCAGATGTTGCTTTTACCCCCTTTGTTGTTTTTAGTTGATGCTTACTGATGTAACACGGGTGAACCGATGCCATCGAATAGATGAACAAACTCAACGTAAAGTTACGTTTTATCAGTTGCTTTTCACACGCCATATGAAAGAAATAAAGACGAGTAAATCAGTTCGTGTTCATAAGAACACGAGGTTGACTGTGTTTCTATCGCCATAGTTTTGGAATACATCGACAGAATCTTTAGACAGATTTTAGGGTCCGATGATGATTGGATACAGACCAATAAACCTCCAGCTTGCAGGGGATGTCTAACATGACAAGGTGCAACAGAGGAAGAGCTGAGACCCCTCAAAGCACGTGTTGTCGGAATATAAATGCTTGGCCTAAAGAGGAAAATGTGGTAAACGGTAAGATAACGATCCGGCATCAAACTCTTAGAGAAGTTGCCACGCTAAAGAATATCACATTTTTTTGTATTTGTTGGTGTAACTTGATGACCCGCCCCTACTGGACATGTGAGAAAAAGAGCTTCATAGCTCATCGGATTCCTCCAATTTAAAATATTCTAAAAACAGCTGATAATACTATGTATAAATCAGAGCTGAAAGAATCACTCCTCTATCCAAACTTGGCGTCATTGGGGAGGACAAGGACTGTCCAGATAGCCACCAGATTTAGACTACACTCTGGTGGTGCCTTACATTATGGCTCTGAGTCGTGGACAATCGCAACAGAAATGTCAAATAATGTCCACGCTTTGTAAATAAGTGCTTTATAAGACATCTCTGCATTCCCACAACGCTAATTCAATACGATTGTTAAAATGTTAAGGTGTATATTGAAATGCACGAAAGCTAGCTTACCACTGAAAAACTGAATTCCACGGTGATTCTGAACATTCGGTTATGGGGCTGACAATAAATTAAGACGTGCTCGTACATACATCACCGTTATACGTTGGTGATGGTGACAAGGGATGATGATGGGTTTGAAAACGTGGCTCGTTTATGATTTTAAAACACAGCCAACAGAGTGCCCCATTGCACATGTGAATTCCATTTATATCTATAAAAAAAATTGTATCGGGATGTTTTATTGTAAATTTCACTGCTCGGGTACATGTTTGTATTCGATCGAATTCTAATTTATATCTTACCTTGTGGTCGGTTAATTTGGAGAGTTGTCACTATTCCAGGTATTGAGGTTATCTTTAGCCCTCTACTCCCATGCGTGTGGGGTTACGCTTGATGTCTTTTTTGCCAAGAATTTCCATTGCACGTGACACTTCAAATGGTGCCACACACAGCAGGCCCAAAGAAGACAAACTAATTAAATTTTAAACAAAAAAAAACTGTTTAGTCTGTGCAAAGCTTTGAGTTTAAAAACGCTACTTTTTTTCTTTTCACTAAAAACGTTTTGTATGTTTGCATTCACACAAAAAAAGCCACCGTTATCCTTGATATTGCATTTGTCTCTCAGGAACACGCTTAAGTGCACTGCCCAAGCTGCTGAGTTGTGTTCAGCGCTAGTTTTTCACAGCGTTACAACACATCAGGTGGCCCAATTAACTTTGTTCGATGATAAAGTCGTCCTCGGTGGAAACATCTTGCGGTGCGAACTTCCCACGAAGCGACTTGTATTGTTGCATTATTCTATTTTGCTGGACAAAATTTGCACAAACCGCGTTCATTTATTCCGCGGACAGTAATCAATTCCGTGGCAGGGCCAGGAATTACGGGAGCGTCGCCATGCCAGCTTGTAGTCCCATGCCCAGACAGCATCGACCGATCTGACCTCCATCCGTCGTACGCGTCTATTGCGCGTATGTGTGTCGGGCGAAGCTGTTTTTACATAATGTGGAAAAGTTCGCAATTTTGTGCGGCCGTTTTGGAAGTAGCGCCACAGTTCCACTACGTTCCGAACGGATCTACGCAAATTGGGGGGGGGGGACCCCTGTTTAACTTTCATAGGGAAGAGTTTGGAACGTGGCTACAGGCGCACACTGATATGATGTGTATATATATGTGTGTGTAAAAGTGCACGCATTTGCAGATCCATTCTGCCAATGGCGGGATGTATGTGCTTACCCATAATAAGAGCGGCGTATAGTTCAGCAATTCCCCAAAACCCTCTCCGCAGCGACAACATTTTGTGAAAAAGCGGAACTTGAATTGGAAGGGGGTGGGGGGGGGCTGTCTCTTCGTGCCGAACTTTGCTGGTCTCCACTTTGTCCCTTGCAGCAGATGCTGTTGTGGAGCTTTCTGCTGCGTAGAATGCAGCTACGCCAGAATGAGTTTCACTTGTGGCGTAAATGGTTTCTTTTCTTTCTGCAAATAGGTAGCAGAATGAGAGGCTTCTGCCAGAACACGTTTTGCTCTCTTGAGTGTGTGGCCAGTTCTTTAACATGGGTCCTCTGGACAAATAAAAAAACCAATGAGCAGTAGTGGGAAATATCTAGATTTATTTTCCTTGTCAGGAACTCAAACCCCAGGACATTTGTACTCTTAAATATGACTTGTATCAAATTTCTTCCTATCAGTTCCCTATTCCAGTGTCTTTTTATATATATTGCAAAGCAACAGGGTACTTATGATTCCATGTTGTGTGTATTGCTTATTGCAAATAATCCACGCTTTGCATATAGGTACATGCCATGTCTGACTTTAGCAAACAATATCTAGAAGGGATTTGAAATAATTCATAATTTAAATTTGAGAGATGCCAGAAGTTGGTTCATGTTTTAACTCGCTGGGTTCCATTAACAGCTTATTCTCTGGCGTAATTCTGAGAGTTCGTACCTTTTACTCTCACAACGTAACAAACTTGTATTTCCTATATAATAACGTGTACTTAAGTAAGTTGAGGTTTAGTGACGTTTGCGTTGTTTATTACGTTGGGTCCTTTCGTGACGTGCTTGTCTGCGTAGTTAATGCCCCATTGCTGTCGGTAATATGTGTACTGATCCTTTGAGGATGTTTGCCAAATTAATTGTGTAGGAGATGAGGAGGAGGAGGAGAGAGGGAGGATGAGGAAAGCGTTTTCCGCAGAAGGAAAACAAGACGGCGATTCCGTGTCTGCAGCTTCCGAGGCCTGCAGCAAGATTGGTCCCCTTTGACATCCACGCATCCCGTGTCTCGTGATAATTATCAAGAAGCGATTACTAAATTCTGTGTACCGT